CTTGAGAATGGAACAGTCACTAAAACCTAAGAATTTTCAAACCCATTAGAAACACACTGTGCTGTGGCTAGACAGAGCACAATTTAACTTGCACATGAGCAATAACTACAGGCCTCAATGCACTGTGGTATAATGCTTGGATTGACATGAATTAGTAACTCTAGACAAGAACAAAGCAAATATACATATTATTTTTGCTTGTTTTTTTTTTTTTTTTACTTTTTATTAGAGACAAACTCAAACTTTCCAGAGAGTTGCAGAAGAAAGAAAAAAAAAAAAAAAAAAAAAAGAGAGTTGCAAGCACAGTGCAAAGGAGCTTTTTTACTAAGCCACTGGGGAGTAAGCTGCTCCGTTATCCCCAAATACTTCAGTGAGTACTCCCTAAAAAGGAGAACCTTCTCTTCTTTTACACAACCATAACAAAACCATCAAAGATCAGGAAGTTAACATGGCTACCATCTACTTCTCACACACTATTCAAGTTTTTTCAGTTATCCCAATGACGCTCTTTATTAGAAAAGGAGACAACACAGAATCAGGCATCAGATTTATTACCACATCTCTATTTTCCTCTAGTCTAGAATAGTTCCTGGGACATTTGCTTTTCATGGCCTTGATGCTTTTTTTACTTTAAAGTTTACTTATTTATTTTCAGGGGCACCTGGGTGGCGCAGTCGGTTAAGCGTCCGACTTCAGCCAGGTCACGGTCTCGCACTCCGTGAGTTCGAGCCCCGCGTCAGGCTCTAGGCTGATGGCTCAGAGCCTGGAGCCTGTTTCCGATTCTGTGTCTCCCTCTCTCTCTGCCCCTCCCCCGTTCATGCTCTGTCTCTCTCTGTCCCAAAAATAAATAAACGTTGAAAAAAAAAATAAAAATAAATAAATAAATAAATAAAGTTTACTTATTTATTTTGAGAGAGACAGAAAGGGGGTGGGGAGCAGAGAGAGAGGGAGAGAGAGAATCCTAAGCAGGCTCTGCACAGGAGCCTGCTGCGGGGCTCAATCCCACCATCCGATCTGGGAGATCATGATCTGAGCCGAAATCAAGAGTCAGAAGCTTAACAGATTGAGCCACCCAGGTGCCCTGATATTTTTAAAAATTATAGACTGGCTATTTTCTAGACAGTATCTCAGTTTGGATTGGTTTGATATTCTCTCTTACTTGGATTCAGGATATGCATCTTTGGCAGGAATATCATAACAAATGGCACACAAATCTGATTTACCTATTGGTGGTATTAACTTTGATACTTGATTAAGTTGGTGTCTGCCATAGTTCTCCACGGTAGTAGAGTCAATCTTCTTTCATTTGTAATCAACACATATTTTGTGACTAAGTATTCATCAAAACTTCAATATATTCATTTATTCTGTTATATTACTAAGGATTCATAGATTCCTTTATTTCTCAATAGTAAATAATCTGTTGCTATCATTACATACTTTGATGCTCAAGTAGCCCTATATTTTGTCAGTGGAAGCCTCTTCAAGCAGGCTTCTGTGGTCTTTTGACATGACTCCATATACTTTGAGCACTTCCTTATTTCTGACACAAGATGTTTTATATTCATCTTGTATTTTTTCTGCCCCATTCTTGGAATCAGCCCATTCTCCCAAGAAGTCTGGTTCTTGTTAGTGGACACTCTTATCTGAAAACTAAAATCTGAGAACTAGATATGCTCACTACTGATGTCAAGCCCTGAAAATGAAGAGAAGTAGAGAATATATGTTTGTTGGTACACACACACCCCTCATATTTATATCTGCTTATTTCGATATCATCTATTTATGCATAACGAAAGCCATACACTCATATGCAAATTTCCAATTTGAATCTAACAATACAGCTTTCTGCATTTCTACACTTGTAACTCCTTTCTGTGACAGTGAGACACCTTACTCTGTCCTCACATATTGACTTTTTTCATTAATCCTTCCTTATGTCACTAATCCAGCTATGCATGCACCCAGAAGCCCTCCTCTTTCTGCCTAAACCACCATTCTCTACATTCTGCTGCTGTGCTACCATCCAGCCCCTACAGACACTCACCTTACCTGATGATTAACATCATATGCCACACACCCTCTGCGGGGGCACACTGCTCACACAACTGAGGCTCCAGCTCCCATGCACTGGGCCCTGTGTTCCCTTCCCCAGCTCAGATGCCTACCTTCCTCAGCCCCACCCAGTAGAAGAGAAAGAAAGAGCAGGGATGGGAAAGAAAATAGTTTTCTGTTTACTCTAAGCACAAAAGAATGTATTTCACCACAAAGTATTAAAAAAAAAAAAAAACTTACTGTCCCTCACATTATTGGGCCACTCTGATTTACTAACCTAAAAATTGAAGCTAGCCTCAAAGAAGTAATATTGCTAATAATCATTTATAAAGCTAGTAAATCAGGATCAATATTCCATGTATCCAACAAATATTTGGCTACAGCCCATAAAATTGTTTAAGTTCAGAGGAAAATGAATATTTGGCAACATGCAGTCAAATTGAAAGCGCAGACTGGAAGTCTGGATGACACATGCCCAAGGAAAATTGGGGTATCCTACATATTGGGCAGTGACATTATGTGGAAGGAGTAACTTTCAGCCAATACAGTTGTGAGAAATAAAATGCAATACTAATAAGTGAAACTTCCAGGCTCTAGCTGCTTACACTACCAAACGTACATAGAAGATGGTTAATCATTTTTCTCAAAGTTGTATTTTGGCACCCACAGCTATTAGCAATTATGTTTTTGAAGTGGCACATTTTACATAGTAGCACTATTTGTAAAAAAAAAAAAAAAAAAAAAAGAAAAAAAAAAAAGCATCATTAGTTGGTCCTGGTAGTAATCCAATCACCAAAACTGGGATAATTTTCTCCCCAAAAAATGATGCTAGATGACTTTTCCTTTTCACTTTTTCTTTATTCTCATCAACAGTTTTCAGATTAAGTTTGGGTCTTTCTGTTTTTGCTTTTATTTCTGCATACCTTATTTAGCTTATTTATTTTGGCAGAACCTAAACATTTACATAAGAAACCAGCTCTGACCATTCTGGCTTTTAAGGTCAGAAGGCCCAGGACTATCCCTACACACCAGCAAATAGACAAGGTTGAAGGAAAAACAGAAAGAATTAGCACTCTATTCTACCCTTACCTTTATGGGGATAGATACAGATATAAGTAATCTTCACAAAGATATACAAGGCATAGAAGGGTGGAATACAGTATGTGGTATAAAGTATAGAAAATGTAAGCAGAATGCAGTGCGTGCGTGTGTGTGTGCGTGTGTGTGTGTGTGTGTGTGTGTGTGTGCATTAGTGAATTAATCCAGTCCAGTCCCAGAAGTTCTTCTGTCCAAAGAGGTCTAAATCGTAGGTTAGATCTGTGAAGTCCCTGTGATTACTAGCAAGTACAACTTTCAGCACTGCAAAAACAGGTTCCAGGGATCTCTCTCTGGTGCCTTTCTTTTTTCTCTTTCTCCCACCATGTTTTCTAGAGGATGAAACTCCGTTGCAATGACAGCCATCGCTAAGGAAGAAAGCAGCACTAGCACCCGCTGGTAGCGTCCTACCACTGCGCCCCGAGGACCCTGCAGGAAAGCGCCCCGAGGTGTGGCGCGTGAGGCACACGCCGGGGCGGATCCAGGATCAGGGAGTTTCTGATTGGCTTTTCGTTGTGAACTCCAGAGGCCGGGGCTAACCTGCGGGTGGAAGGAGCTCACCTGGGAGACGCGTCCCAGACCCGCCCAGGACCTCCCCGGGGTTAGCTCTCTGGGTGGCGGCGGTGATGGTGGGGTTAGGGTTGAGGATAGGGGATGTTACGGAGAGCCCCTCGAATTAAACGTAGGAGGGCGTGAAGTGGGTCAGGCTGTGGTTTTCTGAGTGTTTGCCGGGGGGAAGCCATGTGCAGTATTAAACCCAGGGCTCCTGAAGCAGAAGGGTAGGTTAACTCCGGGCTTCTGTACCTTGAAAGGGTTCCGAATTGCAGGGAACGCAGGCGCCTTTCACTTTTCTTTGGACAGTCTCCCCTGCCTCCGCATTTCGCGAGGAGTCCCTCTGTGGGCGTTGAAACTATAAAATATCCCTGCCCTACAACCACTCAGCAGAGAGTTTTCTGCAGATTACAACCCTAGTTGGCCGCAGGGTGCTGGGAAAAGGGGACCGAGAGGATTAGGGGATCTGGAGTTTAGTGCATTCTATTACTGTACCACTACTTTGCCAGATTACATAAAGTCGATCTGAAGCGACAGATGAAAATTAAGAAGCGTATTGTGAGACAGTTATGGATTTGATGTGGGTTTTTTTTTTTTCATTCCAACATTGACTCTCAATGATGGGTCTCAGCAATCATATCTATGCAATTATATATCTATGAACATGTATTGTGAAAGATTTAAATATACATACATACGGTATGATCTACGTGAGAGGCTGTAAATGTTTGGGTACACACGGTGGAAGCTGCGGTCCTAGCTTGGAGGCAGCAAAGGGCAGGCGGCTGCCCTCTTAGCGCCCGGCGCGTCCAGCCAGGCTCGGGCTGCAGCCCAGAGTGCGCTCCGCGTCCGCTCACGCACCCCCGCTTTTGGAGCGGTGACACAACACCGGAGTCGAATTACAGACCTCAATTAACATATGAATTTGAGTAACTTAAAAGAGGGTAGAAGAATGGGGGGGGGGGGGACTACAACCTCGAGCGGGCGCCTGAGTCCTCGGTACGTAGGAACTTTTCTCCGGGTGTAAAAACTCTTTGATTGGCTGCTCGCACGCGCCTGCCGGCGCCCTCCATTGGCTGAGCAGACACGCGACCGGCGCGAGGAGGGGGCTGGGAGAGGAGCGGGGGGTGGAGGGGAGACACAGTGGCGCGTGCCGCTTTTTAAAGGGGCGCAGCGCCTTCAGCAACCGGAGAAGGTTCGTTGCACGCGACCTGGTGTGTGATCTCCGTGTGGGTGGGGGAGGGTCGAGGAGGGGGAAAAAAATAAGACATTGCAGTAGAGACCCAGGAAGGGTTTTTGTTGCCGTTGGGCTGGTTTGCCAGTACCTCCTCCGACCCTGCGCCTCCGACTCTCTGAAGTGCAATGTCCCGCCTGCTGCACGCAGAGGAGTGGGCTGAAGTGAAGGAGTTGGGGGACCACCATCGCCATCCCCAGCCGCACCACCTGCCGCAGCCGCCGCTGCCGCAGCCACCTGCGACCCTGCAGGCAAGAGAGCATCCCGTGTACCCGGCCGAGCTGTCCCTCCTGGACAGCACCGACCCACGCGCCTGGCTGGCTCCTACTTTGCAGGGCATCTGTACGGCACGCGCCGCCCAGTACTTGCTGCATTCCCCGGAGCTGGGTGCCTCCGAGGCTGCGGCGCCCCGGGAGGAGGCGGACAGCCGGGGGGAGCTCGTGAGGAGGAGCGGCGGCGGCGGCGGCGGCGGCAGCAGCAGCAAGAGTCCCGGGCCAGTGAAAGTGCGGGAACAGCTGTGCAAGCTGAAAGGCGGGGTGGTGGTAGACGATCTGAGCTGCAGCCGCCAGCGCGCCCCTTCCAGCAAACAGGTGAACGGGGTGCAGAAGCAAAGGCGGCTGGCGGCCAACGCCAGGGAGCGACGCAGGATGCACGGGCTGAACCACGCCTTCGACCAGCTGCGCAATGTTATCCCGTCCTTCAACAACGACAAGAAGCTGTCCAAGTATGAGACCCTGCAGATGGCCCAGATCTACATCAACGCCTTGTCCGAGCTGCTACAAACACCCAGCGGCGGGGAGCAGCCACCGCCGCCGCCAGCGTCTTGCAAGAGCGACCATCACCATCTTCGCGCCGCCGCCCCCTACGAGGGCAGCGCGGGCACCGCGACCGCTGCGGGGGCCCAGCCCGCCTCGGGAGGGGGCCCCCGGCCGGCGGCGCCCGGAAACTGCCGGACTCGCTTTTCCGCCCCGGCCTCCGCGGGAGGATATTCGGTGCAGCTGGACGCTCTGCACTTCTCGACTTTCGAGGACAGCGCCCTGACGGCGATGATGGCGCAAAAGAACCTGTCGCCTTCGCTGCCCGGGGGCATCCTGCAGCCAGTGCAGGAGGAAAGTAGCAAAACTTCGCCCCGGTCCCACAGAAGCGACGGGGAGTTTTCCCCCCATTCCCATTACAGTGACTCAGATGAGGCAAGTTAGGAAGCTGACAGAAACCCTGAAAACTGAGACAGAAACAAAATCGCCCTTTCCCAATGCGCGGGAAGCCCCGCCGTTAAAGATCCCCGCACCCTTTTAATTTTTGCTCTGCGATGGTCGTTGTTTAGCAACGACTTGGCTTCATATGGCAGCTATATTTGATGGTTTGCAAAAGCCGCCGCTATTCCAAACTTCCTCGGGTCCACATTGTTTGATGAAAACTTGGTGTTAAAGTTGTGTTCTTTTCTCCCACCTTCCGCTCCCCCTGTAGATAGATGAGGTATAATTGTATGTACCCAAATATGGCATCATTATTCTAGTTCCCTGCTGCCAATACGCTGCTAAAACGTCGCATTTTCTTCTCTGTCGCTGGTTTGTGTTTTAATTTATTTTATGCCCTGGGCATTCATCCCTGTGTGTTGCCCGCACTCACGTGTGGGAGAGTTAGTATTCCGAAGTGTCGTCTCAAAATAAATAATGAAACGCAAAGGTGATGGCTCCAAAGTGAATAACTTGTGGCTATGGAACGGTTAGAAAACAGGGAACGCTTAGGTTTATATATTGTATAAACATACCCAGTATGTATATCGGATCGCGATAATGTTGGCGTCTTTTAGGAAACGGCGCACGCACTTTATCAGCCGCTCCTGCCGCGGCTCCAGGACAAACTCAGCTGCCAATTGCAGACCAGTTTTGTGTTGTTGTTGTTGTTTTAGACACGGCCACTTATAATCCTTTAAGCTCTTTGCAAATGTTTGTTTAAAAAATTAAAATTAAAAAAAAAGCCAGTAGTGTCAAAGCATTTCGTCAATTATATTTTGCTTTGTTAATGTTAGAAAACTTATTTATTATTGATTGTTTGCTACCATTTCTACTTATCTTGATTCATTTTTTTACGTTTTCTACTCGAGATCATTTTATTTTAATTTAGCAAAGCCAACTGCCATTGTTTTATGTATTTTCTTTTGCAAATGTTAAAAATAAACGCGAAAATAACCTTTACTTGTCACTTATTCCGTTCTGATGTAAACATTAAAAACAGTTTTTAAATGATCTTGAAGACTTAGTCTATTAAATGCGAATCTAGAGTTTTGAAGGAAAATTCTGTTATAGACATTGTCGCTTCAAGTAGTACCAGAAACCCTACATAGAAAAGTGATCAAGTCAGTAATTAAATTGTAAGGTAAAATTTTTCCCCAAATTTGCTACCTTTTGCCTCTTGGATAGCCAGGATCTTTCCAGTCTTCCTCACTCCTGGCCCCAACCACCTCTGCAAGGGGAGGCACCTGCTTCAGGTCGCCTAAGATCTCATCAGTACTCTACCATAATAACCTATTTCCACCTCATAAAAACTTTAGCCGAGTTGAAAACTTTTGCCATAAGTCAAAAACACAGTGCAAACTTCCCCAATTTCTCCCTCCCCAGCCCTTCTCCCCTCTCCTCCCTCCCTCTGTTTCCTTTGATGGGGGGGGGGTGGTAATACGGTGTGTAGAAGGTGAGGAGTAGAGAGGACAAAATGGTGGGGAGGGGAGGGAAAGCTTCAGGGGAAAGGGGATGGGGTTCTTTCAAAAGTGAAAAGCTTTCAGCTGTCCTAGGAAATTGTTGCCCTCTACGCTTTTTCCAAACAATTCTGCTTATTCCACTAAAGAAGATAGTGTTTGGTTTTGTCTTTCTGAATCAGTTCCTCTGTAGAAATGTTTATATTTCTGAGTCAGGTGCAGAAACCAAACAGTACGCTCACTCTCACCTCAGGGTCCTCGCTACGGAAAAGCCTATTCTGGGTGTCAGGATCAAAGACTTTGACAAAGCTAATATAGTGCGTGTGCGGAGGTGGTAGAAAGACGAATTTTAAAAATGTATTCGGCAAACGTGAGAGTAGAACTATTTACTAAAAATTGGGCGACGTTCCACTGGATAAACATCGCTGAATTTGAGAAAGTTGATTTTAAGCCAAATCCTTTAGATTTTGTGTCTTCATTAGGATAACAAATTGTGAGAACAAGAAAGCGGGTGTTGGAGAAGGAGAGCCAGAGAGGCTAATTTAATCGGTCCCGCATCATCATCTCCCCCCACCACCCTGAAAAGAGGAGAACGCCACAAATCAGTTTGCAGGAAGAGTAATGCGCGAAGGAGCGCAGTTCTGGTCTTGGGGAGGGAAATGTGGAACCAGCTTTTGACTGACTACCTGGGTTTCAATGGCTTTCAGCTGAAGCCGAAGCTTAGGGAAGCGGAGAGCCTCCGCCAGCTCTTTGAGAGGTGAGCGGCAGCTCCTGACACTTTCCAGGGGCAGAAACAATGCACCTGTCCCTTAGATAACCTTTTGCACCCCCGAGTTTGCCGTGCTCACGATAAACATCAGGAATCTTCAGGCTGCTGAATAAATCAAGCGATTGCTTCTAACACATTTCCACTTCGCTCTCAAAAAGCAAACTCAACAGGCAGGGACACACAGCAACTTTTCAGGATGAGTGCACACATAGTTTCATTTATGTGGCTTGGTATGTTTGTGTACATGTGGAGAGAGAGAGAGAGAGAGAGAGAGAGAGAGAGAGAGAGAAGATGACCTAGAATTCTTTTACCTGTTATGAATCTGAGTCATGTAAGGGCAGGATGGAGAAAAATTAAAGTTGTGAGTCTTTTTTCTCAAAGAAAGTGATCTTTATTTCATTTTTCAAAACCATCTATGTTCATTTTGTGTTAACCAGGAAAAGAAAAACCTTCCAAAGTTATTATTTTCATTTTCATGGTCTTATAGAAATTTCAAAACAGAAATGTCATCAAGAGTATCTTCCTTCCCATCTTTTATATATGAAAAAACCACTGCCCCTAACTTGCCCCAAAATTACACAGTCATGAAGTGTCAATATTCAGAACTGGATCTTACGACTCCCATCCACTAGGTCAATGTACCCACAGATTTTTTTTCCTCTAAGAAAATCCGTGGAAAGGAGTTAACAGCTATGCAAATGTTGAGGGTTTAGTCTTGCACCACAAAAATAGGTATTTGGATTTTTAAATGCTAGGGGCATTGTGTCTGAATTAGGGATGATGCCAATTTCATTTAAGAAAGTCACTTTACATTTCTCCTCAAGAGAAAACAGCCACAAGACAATTTTAGATTAGAAATTCTATATCACACTGATTGAAAAGTGAGGATGTATTCTTCTAATTCATCAAGTGCACAAAAAGCCAAATCACTTTGTGTAAATTAAGTGCTCAAAGTTCAAATGAGGACTTTGGCCTTTTTTCTTTCCTTCATTCTATCTCTTTCTTTCTTTTTATGCTGGCATTTCTTTGAAAGAGATGTACAATCACATTTCCATTTTAGGGTTCTGCTATGGAGTTTGCATAACAAACGTTTGGCAGCTCGCTCTCTTACACTCCATTAACAAGCTGTAACATATAGCTGCAGGTTGCTATAATCTCATTAATATTTTGGAAACTTGAATATTGAGTATTTCTGAGCGCTCATTCCCCATATGCCAGACCACTCCTGCCATGCTGACTGGTTCCTTTCTCTCCATTATTAGCAATTAGCTTCTACCTTCCAAAGTCAGATCCAAGTATCCAAGATACTAGCAAAGGAATCAACTATGTGTGCAAGTTAAGCATGCTTAATATCACCCAAACAAACAAAGAGGCAGCATTTCTTAAAGTAATGAAGATAGATAAATCGGGTTAGTCTTTTGCAACACTGCTTGGTGCTTTCTAGAGTTTTATGTGCTTTAAGCGGCTTGTTTTATACCCCCTCTTTGCCTTCTTCCGTCCCACCACTTTTATTCGTGAAGGGTTTTGGCTCGCCACCCTTGGGGAAACTTACTTGATTTCACAGAAAGCTGAAGAAAGATTATTTTTGGCAACTGGCAAGTTTAAATATGTTCTCTACGGGACACTGTTAACTGGGGGTCCAGCGTAACAAGAAGAAAAGGGGGGGGGTAGGTTTCCTTAATCTTAACTAATGCAGGACCAATGCTTTCATTAGGCCTTTCAATTGATTTTAGAGATTGAAACCTGAACGAAGTAAGCGATCTTTTATCAAAGGATATCTTGGGATTATTTCTCTCCTCTGCTCATTTGAAAGTTCAAGAAGAGATGATCAACTTGGCGTTGGCAGCTTCAAACCCCAGATAGAACTGGAAACGAACGTAGCAGACACACTTGTCAATTGCAATCTCGACTTGTCAATTGCAATCAGGAAAAACCGGCAAGTACTGGTGAGAGTTGAAGATGACCTCTAATAGTTAAATTATTCGCCATTGGTTTTGTGAGAAGGGGTGGGCGGTTGGGGGAGAAGGGGCTGGTGGGCATGCAATAAAAGTTTAAGTTTCCTCGCTGTTTTGGACTCGACTCTGACCAGACACCCTCACCCCTGGGCTGAGCAGAGTCCCAGACGCCAACCTCTGAGGTAGCTTCCCTTCCGCTAGGCCTCTAACAAGAACAGGCGAACGGAGCGGAGAATGGGTTAAATCCCGGGACGCAGGGGAGAGGCAGGGGAGGAGAGTAGTCGGGGGAAGATAAAGAAAAGGACAGGAACCAAGAAGCGTGGGGGTGGTTTGCCGTAATGTGAGTGTTTCTTAATTAGAGAACGGTTGACAATAGGGGGGCTGGCAGAGGCTCCTGGCCGCGGTGCGGAGCGTCTGGAGCGGAGCACGCGCTGTCAGCTGGTGAGCGCACTCTCCTTTCAGGCAGCTCCCCGGGGAGCTGCGCGGCCACATTTAACACCATCATCACCCCTCCCCGGCCTCCTCAACCTCGGCCTTCTCCTGGTCGACAGCCTTCCTCGGCCCCCCACCGGCAGAACTCACAGAAGCGAGCGACTCTCGCCGCCTTCCGTGGCTGGCCGGGGCCCCTCTCCTCCCCCAGCTTCGCAGCGGGAGCCGCCACTGCCCACTGCACCTCCCAGCAACCAGCCCGCCAAGAAAAGAAGCTGCGCAAAGTAAAAGCCAAGCAATGCCAAGGGGAGGGGAAGCTGGCGGCGGCGGCGGCGGCGGGAGAGCTGCGGGGTTGTCCAGGAAAAGTTGGGCTGGGGGCTGAGGCACCTGAGGCAGTGAACCAGGACTGAGAAGCATGCGCATCCTCCGCGCGCAACGGGCCCTGCAAACGCGCTCCCAGCCGACCCGCGCGACTACCGGGCTCGGCGCCCGTGGCGGAAGATCCGTCCACCTTTTCTAGCCATCAGCCCCTCCCTCAGTCTATAATATTTTATAAGCTCTGTATATTTGGATGTTGTTACAGTTCTTAGAATTCAAACTTCAATTGAATCGAGGGCACGTGCCTTGTCTCTCACATTTCAGGGCTGAGACCCACGGATATGGCTTTCCCTTCCTTTAGCTCTTTAAGAAAAGCAGGGTTACGCATTTTTGTACAAAGACTTTGGGCCTCTCTGCATCCCAGGGTTTCTCTTCCTATTTCAGTCCTGCCTTCTCTGGTCCAGGACAGACAAGCAAATACAATGGGCTTTTGCTGTTTAATCTGCAGAGAGGCCAGGCCCTGCTACAAGTTCAGGCTTTTTCTCAGAGGTACCAGAATTTTCCTCCATAGAGATGAAAAACAAGATGCTTTCCGATACAAGTATTTTTAAAAAGACAACTCTGATTGAATAATTAAGAGATCTGATAAAAGAAATGGTGTTCTGATGGCCAGCCAACTTACCAGGCCCACCTACTGTCAGGATGGAGAAGGAAGGTGGTAACTAGGATCTGAGATGGCTGTCATGGGACTTCGACCAATACATGTCATTCCTCTTTTTGGGCCATTGGAGATGGTTCTTATTTGTCTCTTCTGGAAATGGTTCCTCACAATCCTTCCTACCTTCCTGCTCCTAC